CTGGACACATCTGAATATTTGGGTTAAACTGTTCTGGAACAGTGTTGTAAATACAACTTAACCACTGATTTGTAGTTGTGTCCTCTTTTGGAAGGCCAAAGAAAGTAGTTTTGCTTTCACAACGAAACACACAGCGTCTCCACGACAAGGCTGCGGCAGCAACAATACTACAGCGAGAATAAAAGTTACGCCTTTTTTCTTTGCGTGAACATTTGGGCGGCGTTATGCAAATCTTCCCACACAGTGACGTAGACATGTGGGTGTGTGTTTAAACAAGGTGTTTTAAGAGGGCGTGGACGAGTCTTAACTTTTATAAAGAATATCTCTTTGGATTTGAGACTTTAGTCTTTGCAACTTTAGGGATCTCATCTATTCACGAACAGCTTGTAACACTCCAAAGAGAAAGGAAAAATTGAAATGGCATCATATGACCCCTTTAAAAAAACAATTCATATATCATTTTTTGGGGGCATGACATTTTACAGCCTGAACTAGCCAAAGAGGGCGTGGACGAGTCTTAACTTTTATAAAGAATATCTCTTTGGATTTGAGACTTTAGTCTTTGCAACTTTAGGGATCTCATCTATTCACGAACAGCTTGTAACACTCCAAAGAGAAAGGAAAAATGGCATCATATGACCCCTTTAAAAAAACAATTCATATATAATTTTTTGGGGGCATGACATTTTACAGCCTGAACTAGCCATAAAAAATATCAAGATGAATTAAATTTAGATATTAAACGTGCTTATAAATTACTTTAATCATGTGTGTATCTATGTGATTAAAGTAACAACAGTTGCTTTCAGAAAACATTCTTCAGTGGCTGTCAGTCTGAAACCGACAGGTCTCCTTGAGCTGTATGAACTGAAGTCAGTTGATACTGTGTCACTGCACAAGTACTGTTAAATACTTCTTGGCACCTACAATCTGATAAGCCTTGCAAACTCGGCTGGGACATGTTATGGTGTACACAAAAAAGTGTTAGGTGACACTTGAGATCATGCTGAGTGATTCAGCCTGTTGAAGATGGAATTACAGTTCCAGGATCTCTGTAAATCAGTGAGTGTCAAGACAACCCATCTGTACTTTAGTTCTTTTTAGAAGTTTTAATAACCCAAATGTCGAGCACAACATGTCTTATATGTCAGCATGTGACAGGTAGATTTACAGGTAGAATCTGATTTCTCTTTATTCCATCTTATCTGAAAGCCCACTTTAAGGCACTTATATTTCTGCATCACTTTGAACTGATATTCGCAGTCTGCTTAACACAATACGGTTTCATATCAAAACTGCCACGTTTTTCTACAAATGTGAATCACACCTGCACAGCAATTCTGGAGAATTTTGTACCATTCTTCTTAATGAAACGGTTTTATTTCAGCCATATTCTTAGTAATGCCAATGCATCTCAGTTGGGTTGAGGTTAGAACTCTTGACCAAGAAAAGATGTTTTTCCATTTTCGTTCATCAGTGATACAATACTTTTAGTGAGACCAACATGTCTTTTCAGTTTAATGAATCTGAGTGAATACAAGATTGATTATGGTGTGCATGCTTGATTCATTTAGCTGTTAAGGATTTTTTTTGGTCCGGAGTTGTGCATCAAGTTTGACCCAGGGTCTTCTTGTTCCCAAAAACATCCATCATGTTTTTAACATGACATATTGTTGCCTCATCAGTAACCGCATAGTATGTTATTATACTAGAGAAAGGACAATTTATTTCTTCTAAGGTTTAGTGAAACCTGAACTACGGATTCCCATAAAACACTCAAATGCAGAACATTTGGCACTGGACCAAATAGGTCTCCTTTGAACTGAACTCAATTATAAATGTGATATGGTAAGAATAAAAAAAAACATCTGTGAGGGGTCATATCAAAGTTTGAATTACAAAGGAGGCAAAATAATGGATTTCTTTTCCAAAATTGCATGCTGCCCTCATCACAAATCTTGGCAGTTCCCAGTAAACGAGATATGCTGTCAACTTTTCATTTACACTTCATTTCTAAAATTCTATCCAACAAGTTTGGGCATAATCAGATGTGGCTTTTGAGCCCCAGAATTCAGAGCTTTGTCGTATAAATACTGTGTAACCCTAAATTTGAACACGGAGTTCTCTTGAAAAGCAGGAGTCTTGAAGACTTAAAACATTCTTTTAGACAACTTTTCTCATTTTCTGACTAAGCGCTGGTGATAATGAACTTCCAGGTGCTTCTGCTGGTCTTTGCTGTGGTGACTGCCACTAACATCAACTGTCAAGGTAAAAAAATAATAATAATTATGAATACATTTACGCCATGCTATATGTCATTTTCTGTAGTAATATTATTTTGTGTTATTTTTATATTGCGTTAGTTTGCTGTCATGTTACAAAACAACATTTTACCTGTTATATTACTGTTAAATCCTGTAATATAATACATTTGATTAAATTTTGTTTTAAAGAAGTAAAATTCTATGTATAATTTATATGACATTTTGATGTTTCTAAATATCTCCTTTATTGCAGCACAACCTCAGCCGGGAGATTCAAATAAATCTCCAGTGGTCAAAGGTCCCGTCATATCCAGGCAACAGGGCAAGACATGTAGCTGCGTTGGTAAGTGATGATAGTACTCTTTCACTATGCAAACGGTTACAGAAAGTTGCATTTTTTGAAACCTACATAAGAGAGGTCACCATGGCAACAAATGATTTAAAAATAACATTTCGATGAATCACAACATACTAGGAGCCCAAAATCACTTATATTTTCTTATACCTTAATAAACATTTACTGATGATCCTTGCAATTCTGTAGAAAACACTTTATTTTATGTGTTGCTAAATGTCTCTAGTTGTTCTTCTGATGTGCGGTGATGTAGATTTTGGTTCAGAAATTCTCTAACAGTATGTGCTGCCCAAATGTAGTGCTTTGTAGTGTTTTTAAAAGTATTTATTGTATAAAATGATTTATTGTATTGAAATGAGTCCTAGTCATTTTGATTGATGTGTTGTTTTCCATAGGGAGAAGAAATGCACTGGAGCAGAACTACTGTCCCTGTGAGCTGCCACGTCAATATAGTGAGTCATGCAACCTGTATTTACCCAGACCATTTTGTTTGTTATGTTAAACCTAGCAGGCCATGAAACACTGAGTCAAAAGAAAGCTTTTAAAATAATTGTACAAAAGTTACTATTTTTTTGGAAGTTATAATACATATATACATCTCTATTGTTTTATTTTCAGGAATCCTCAGTAAAGAGCAGAAAGCTTTGTGCCTAAAGAAGGGGATTTCGACACTTAAAAAGTGCCAACAGTTGATTGGAGGAAACAGGAAGGCGAAAAAAGGCATCAGTATGCCAATTTAACCCACAGTCACTATACTCACCAACTATACACCCCCATCATTTTAAACATGTACTTATCACACCATATCTTAAGTAGTGTATACTGAACTATTTTTGTATCTCTTATATTCAATAACATTTATTCTAGGCAATGTTCTACATTCAGGTTTTACAATTGTAAAAAAAAAAGAAAAAAAAAGCACGTACTGGAAAAAGACATGCAAGTGCATTTAAAAATAAAGCATGTTGATAAAGAGAGAAATTAATTTGAATGGTTTACTTTTATTTGGTCTATAAATAAAGTGTATAACATTTCACATGTTTTGATCTTTTAAATAACTGTAAAATGCATTTATAATTTGGAAATAAGCACACAGAAGGCATATAATATTTCTATAAGAAAAGATTGTACTATTGTGAAATATAAGACACATTTGGGAAGCAAACAGAAAGGTCATTTGGATAATTGGTCATTCAGATAAAATTTGCCTGGATTTTCTGTATATTAGGTTTTCCAGATAGAGATTTAAAACCAGAGCTACAAGTAAGAAAATAATCCAGAATTTATTAATTTCAGCAGATTTAATTACAGTACAGCATTCATGTCTTAAATTACCGTCCAATTAATGATGGTAATAAATGTATGAATATACATATATATGATATAGCTTTTAGAAGATAAATATATAGGCAAATAATGCAGTATGATTAATTAAAATGTAATCCTTTTTTTTTTTCTTTTTTTTACTTTGTACTTGCCAAAAGAGTGTTCGGTTTAATAAATGCTCATACCTGCCTTACACATGATGTTTTTAATATGTTTTCAAATTAAGAAGCAGTTCCACTAATCTGGGCTGAATGATCTTGCCAGTGCGATTTTTTCTTGCTGCTTTTAAGTGATAAATGTACCTACAAGCCTCATTCAGGCCTCAAAGACAGATGGCATGTTCACAGCAATATCAGTATTAGAGCCATTCATCCAGTACAGGGATCAGCAAAACGAGCAGAGCCATCAACATCACACTTGCCTGGACACTGACAGCAGCGTCAGGTTCTGGAGAAAAGACAGAGGAAATGATGATCTGTTATTAGGTTACTTCAAAAAACGCGGCATGAAAATGCATTTTCTGACAGTTAACTTTTATTTTACATGTTAACTGCTGTGTGTGAATTTGGGCTAATGCTCACAATTGACGACTTGGCTGGTGTAGACTGTCACATTGGTCAATGGGTTTTTGGCCACACAGGTTTAATTGCTGCCCAAGACAGAGTTTATGGGAAGTACTATGGAAGATTCATTTCCCACTACTGTGTTGTTTTCGAGGATCCAGTGATACACAGCTGGTGGCTGAGACACTGCCAGACATGTCAGGATGGGGGGAATCCCAGGGCGTACAATGATCTGCACACTCTGTGGTCCAACTGCCCAATAAACACACAGAGCTTTAGTTCATGCAAAATAAGTCTTTTGAAGTCAGATTTATATCAAAGTAATTTACAGATGTTTTATATTACTCCCAGATGACCGCAAGATCGTATGGTTGACTGACATGCTGTCTCACTGCGTTCGAAGCGACGCACTGGTATCTCCCGTCATCAGCAGACTGCAAGGCTTTGAAGGTCACAGTGGTGTTATCTGCTGAAAATGTAATGTGAAAATGTTGTTTCGAAGCCAGTGGAGTCTGTTGTAGGCTCCCTTCACATTACAGGTGAGCTCCAGGCTTTGGGAAGCTAGAGGAATAGGATGATCGGGGGTGATGTCCACTGTCACAATGGCCTCTATGGAGTGTACAGAATATTAGACTAGTAGTCACTCACCTTGTGAGCGTACTTAAGTGCGTGTGACGCTTGCTGTGATATTAACATCTGCCCTCTCACTACATGAGGACATAAATACATGAACAACATATCCAGAACTGAGAGTCACTTCATGAGAATTTGACCGTTTCATTTGAGTAAAACTATCCAAGACATGCTAAAATACAGAATTTGGTAACAATAAAACATAAGGTTGGAAAAAATAAAACATTTCATAGTGCCCTAAACATGTATTTTTTGTTAAATTGTTTACATTTCGTGATTTTAATTAATTAGACATGCTTAGTATAATTATAATTAGACCATTTTTTATTTTTAAAAATCCAAAAACCAAAAGCCGCAAACCTAGGGGAAACACTGAATGATTATTATTTTGCCGACTGTACGGACTGTGAAGCCATAAAATACTATGTAGTCTCTACTGAATTGTTCTCTTGGGTGACCAAAAAAAAAAATGCAACAGACCTAATGTCTCTCTTGAGACGGTTCTTTTTTGCAGCGCCACCAGGGTTTTAGGAGTTTTCAAATATATGACTTAATAGTCGGTTCTTTGAACCAATCTTTCAAACAGATGCCCTGGATAATTTGCCACATTTGTAGAGAGAGAATTTCCTTATTACTTAAGCAAAATGTATATAACTTTTTCAAATGATTCCTTTCAATATGTATATGAAAAAGACAATTTGATCTTCAAAGAACATGAAAAGACATCACTGTAAGGTATTATAGCTTACCAATTACAGTTAATGTTGTTGATAGCAGTACTAGCTAGACATTGATACAACCCATTATTGGTTAGAGTGAGTGGGTTGAAGTTCAAAACTGAGTGGTTATGGGTGAAATTGATCCTATTGTCGCCGTATAGGTTTGTGCCATTCTTCATCCACTGAATGTGTTGAACATCTCCACTGGCAGTGCAGGTTAGTGTGAATGGCTGATTGAAGATTGGTTGCTGATTCTTCCTATTCACCGTTGCTGACAGGAACTAAATTTCATACAAAAAAAATCATGAATCACATTCACAACCATTTTAGATTTTAAAAACCAGGATGTTAAACATTTTCGCACTTTAGAACAAATGCATTTGCTGGTTTCAGTTAAGCAAAAATACTGAATTAAATGACTACCATATACAGCTAATGTCACCGAGGCACTGCTGCTTCTGCCTGTAATATTATTGAAGGCCATGCAGGTGTACTCTCCCCTATCGGTTTTTGAGAGAGGTGCAATCACATACACTGAACCATTTTTCACATTTAAGCCACTGAAATACCAGCTGTATTGACTTTGAGGACGAGAGACAGAGGAACAGCTGAAGGTCACGCTGGATCCCACTACTGCTATATGTGGACCAGAGGCTGCTGTGTTGGTTGGGCCATCTAGCAAATACATTAACTGTTTTAAAGGGGTCATATGATGCGATTTCAAGTTTTCCTTTCTCTTTGGAGTGTTACAAGCTGATTGTGCATAGATAAGATCCCTGAAGTTGCAAAGACTAAAGTCTCAAAACCAAAGAGATATTCTTTATCAAAGTTAAGACTCTGCCACGCCCCCCTAAAACAGCTCCTTCTAACACGCCCCCACATATCTACCTCACTATGTGGAAATATTAGCATAACCAGAAAAAAATCGCGGGAAACGCGTCATGCATTTTGCGTCGCCTGGCATGAATTCGCCTCTATTCGCTCTTTGCATTAGGCTTGTTTGAGATGAGCAATATCTGCACAGAACCGATCACCAGTGATCACCGCGAGATGCATGCTGGTTAGAAAAGTGTCGGAGTTACGTCTGACTTGCTCTGATGTCATGCTGACCTGTGCCAAAAAACTCTTGCGACGCGAGGCGGCTGTGTCGGATTGTGCAATCGAGCGCAGTTGCTCTCCACCGACTGCGCTGACCAAAAGCATGATGGGAAACGACTGACTGACGACACAGCTTAATGCTCATTGGTTCAGACAACCGTGATGCTGCATTCTTGTCTTAAATGTTTTTTTTTTAATATCTGATTTCATGTGATTATGTATTTAAATTATGCATGAATATTCCCAAACACCATGAGAGTGCGATCTCTGTGTGATTGTTGTCATATTCTATAAAAATCTAAAATACATGTTTGTATTCAAGTAAAAATGGATGATAAATACGCCTTTCCTATGGAATTAAATAGCAAGCACTTTGAGTGTCTTGTTCATCATATTTATTTTCATATAAAAACAACAGAACTGGAATCATATCATGTTTATTAGCAACACAGCACATGAGTGAGAATAACGCAATATCTGTCTTTGATCTCGTTGGTATCTGTTCCACTTCCCAGAGGTCAGAATTGTCCGTCTTGACTGCGCTTATTTCACTCCTCCCCTCACTGCAGCTGCCTACTCTCGCCTACAATTCAGGCGAGGCGAGGCGCATCTCAAACAAGCCTATTGACTTATGTATGTAATCTACTCACGCGAATAATTAAATTCACATTTGGTGTGAACACACTGTTATATTTACATTCAGTCTGTGTGCAGTTTCTGTCTGGCCAAAAACGGACCGAATTTGCATGCCCTGCTGTTAACTTTGATATTCTTTATCAAAGTTAAGACTCTGCCACGCCCCCCTAAAACAGCTCCTTCTAACACGCCCCCACATATCTACCTCACTATGTGGAAATATTAGCATAATGCCGCCCAAATGTGCATGCAAAGAAAGAAGGCGTGGTTTCAGTAACCGCAGTTAGTGTTGAAGCAGCCATGTCAGGGAGACGTTGTGTGTTTCTAGGCGAAAGCAAAAGCACTTTATTTGGCCTTCCAGAAGTAGATGCATTTAGGAATCTTTAAGATTACTTACAACAGAACAGCAATGCATTCTGTGATGTTTCCCTTTCTGGTTCTGTCTTTACATTTATTTTGAAAGATGAAGCTCGCGATTATGGTAAGGGGCGTTACATTTCCGACGAATGCTTGCTGTGTTCGGCCAATCACAATGCACTGGGTCAGTTGGCCAATCAGAGCAGACTGCGCTTGTCGGAAGGAGGGACTTTGTAGAAAACAAAGCGTTTGAGAGAGGCGGGGCATAGAGGACCTACAATAATGTACAGTATTTGAAAAATAATGTGTTTTTTGAACATTAACGCATGTCAACATATTATGTTACACCAAATACACAAAATAATGATTTTTAAAAAAGCATCATATGACCCCTTTAATATTTTTATCTTTACATTACATTACAAGGCAACTGACAATGAAATGCAAACAGATTTAACCAATATTTTTAACTCATATATAAGGTGAGATGGTGGAAGATGCATTTACAGGATATCATTCAATATATTATTAGAGAAAATAAATGAAAACATTTGCACAAATGTCTTGCACAAAACAGAAAATGTGAAAGAGCGGTATCTTGCTGCATTACTGGGGTAAGATGGTTCCCTACCTGCATGGGTCAAAAAGACTCCCAAAGAATAATTTTTTTTTTAAAGTGTCATTAATGTAAAATAGTAAATCAAATATTTTATGTGCATGTTTTAGTTCAATAACAGACAAAACCGACAGACAAAATCAAATAACAGTGTCCCATTTAGAGTATGAATTATAAAATATTATGGATTCAAATTAAATGATTCAAATCAATTGGCCTATATAGGTTATGAAGAATAATGTTATAGATTGATACAGTAGATGTTAGAAATGCACATCTAACTAAATTATTTATAAATAATAATTATAGATACATTTAATATAACATAAAATTCACAGATCACTATTATCTAATGTCAAAAAAGAAAAAGAAAATTTGATCTAAAAAATGATGTTCAGATAACAAGCAGAGATTAAAGGTGGGGTATGTATTTTTTCAAAAACGCTTTAGAAAACTGAGTCAGGCCGAGTACCAAAACAAACTTGTAGCCAATCAGCAGTAAGGGGCGTGTCTACTCTAGGGATGTAACGATTAACGGTTTGACGATAAACATGATAAAATTCCCCACAGTTAGTTTTTACCGTTTCATGTTTTAATTATCATTAAAATCGTATTAGATTACCGCGATTTGAGCAACTCGCGATAAATAAATACTGTCCAGCATAAAGCACAGTTTTAAGTAACAGTCTCACGTGCGCACACAGCATGCAGAGTAGTTTCGTATTGAGTGAAAAGAGGGCTGAAAAGCTGGGAGGTTTTAAAAGAGTACTAAGGGAATTATACAAATGAATATATGAATGAATTAATTATATGATTGTACCTCTGAAGGTTCTGACTGTCTTCAAAAAGGATTCGATGGCATTTTTTTCATCTTCGCTCTGTAATACCTAAAAGAAGTGTTCTTAATCGCAATACTACTTTGTCCATGGAGGTTACAGGAAATCACTCTAATTAAGCTTTTTCATAAGCGTCACCTAGTGTCAGAGAGTGGATTAACAGAGATTTATGGTGTGTTCACACCAGATGCGAAGCAAATATGCGCATCACGTCACTCGCTCTAGATTACTCGTGGGATGTTTTTCGTGTCACTCGCGTCAGGCGAATTTTCCGCTCAAGTTGAAATTTTTGAACTTGCGCGAAAAACGCGATTGAGGCAAATATCTCTCGTTCGCGGGAAACGCGTCATGCATTTTGCGTCGCCTGGCATGAATTCGCCTCTATTCGCTCTTTGCATTAGGCTTGTTTGAGATGAGCAATATCTGCACAGAACCGATCACCAGTGATCACCGCGAGATGCATGCTGGTTAGAAAAGTGTCGGAGTTACGTCTGACTTGCTCTGATGTCATGCTGACCTGTGCCAAAAAACTCTTGCGACGCGAGGCGGCTGTGTCGGATTGTGCAATCGAGCGCAGTTGCTCTCCACCGACTGCGCTGACCAAAAGCATGATGGGAAACGACTGACTGACGACACAGCTTAATGCTCATTGGTTCAGACAACCGTGATGCTGCATTCTTGTCTTAAATGTTTTTTTTTTTATATCTGATTTCATGTGATTATGTATTTAAATTATGCATGAATATTCCCAAACACCATGAGAGTGCGATCTTTGTGTGATTGTTGTCATATTCTATAAAAATCTAAAATACATGTTTGTATTAAAGTAAAAATGGATGATAAATACGCCTTTCGTATGGAATTAAATAGCAAGCACTTTGAGTGTCTTGTTCATCATATTTATTTTCATATAAAAACAACAGAACTGGAATCATATCATGTTTATTAGCAACACAGCACATGAGTGAGAATAACGCAATATCTGTCTTTGATCTCGTTGGTATCTGTTCCACTTCCCAGAGGTCAGAATTGTCCGTCTTGACTGCGCTTATTTCACTCCTCCCCTCACTGCAGCTGCCTACTCTCGCCTACAATTCAGGCGAGGCGAGGCGCATCTCAAACAAGCCTATTGACTTATGTATGTAATCTACTCACGCGAATAATTAAATTCACATTTGGTGTGAACACACTGTTATATTTACATTCAGTCTGTGTGCAGTTTCTGTCTGGCCAAAAACGGACCGAATTTGCATGCCCTACTGTAAATTTTGACTGGTTGATGAAAAGCAAGCTTATGTGGATTCTACACATTTAAACAATTCAGATAAGTTATCTAGTATTATTTATGGAGCAGATAACATACATATCATTTATCAATCAATTATCATTTTTACTTGTATCTTTTCTTTATTCAGAGGCTGAAATGTGAGGTTTACCTTTTTATTGAACTTTTTCAAAGCTTTATTTGAACATTTACATTACATATTTGAACATGCTATAAACTGTTGTCAAGTCAAGTCACCTTTATTTATATAGCGCTTTTAACAATACAGATTGTGACAAAGCAACTGAACAGCATTAATTAGGAAAATAGTGTCAATAATGCAAAATGACAATAGTAAACACTCATTTTTCAGTTAAAGACAGTTCATCATTGAATTCAGTGATGTCAACATCCAGCTCAGTTCAGTTTAAATAATATCTTTGCAATCAAGTCAACGATATC